ATAATTATAAATAATACAATTTTAATATTTTATCTCAACACTTAAATACTCTACGACTTAAACACATTTGATCAAATACTTTAAATCTCTGTATTGATGAAAATCAATTTTTAATTCACTGAAACTAATAAGTCGATGTAAGAAAAGGTGTTTCTAATAGATGTACAGTATCTCGAATATAATATATATATGCAAATAGAATAAACTTCTTAAGAAAAGCCCACATATAAAAAAATATTAGTGTTCAAATTTTATTCAGAGATCTATTTCGTTTATTTTGAAAAATTGACGAAAATCGCAGAAACTAAATAATTTTGTACAAATTCATTTTTCACATAATAAACATGCCATTATCACAGACGAGATATAGAGTAGACTACTCATTCAATGTACTTTTTTGTCACATGTTCCCGGGGTTTGGGAACTCTGTTACCATTATCCTACTGTATCGATTGGGACTAGTATTATATCACTGCGCTATTAGTGTAGGAATTGAAATCAAGAACAGTCAGCATTTGTTATTTTAAATAATGGAGACAAAATTTCGAATCTTAGGATGAATTAGAATGTGGTCAGAAAGGGTGTATTGACACAGTCGAGGTACAGAATAGACCTATCACTATAGATGACCTTGCATCTTATAGGACTTTTTGTCCGGGGCTTTAGGGCCGAGAAGATCCTTACCATTTTCGTGTCGCTAGCAACGTTACCGATTCAGTATAGAGTAAGATTACAATATTAGTAGTGGTAGATGATTCGTCACATGCGCGTGTTCTACTGCTGTCAAATGATCGTGGACAGTACTACCCAAGCAATCCAATATTTGTATGTATCTTTATATGCAAATTCAATAAAAGAGGATTTTTTATATTTGTCGACTTTACCATCTTTGATGGTTGAGTTGTATATAATTCCTAAACTCACCGCTTTATATCTGGAGAGCATAACAAAAATTCTGATTTTTTACACGATCGGTACTTCAGAACGTTGGACACAAAAATACATTAGGTGCAAGGTCTATCCTATACCTCGTCTGTGTTAATATCAACAATATGTAAAACAAACAATTACTTTTTATTCTGTACATATTCATGAACATCACATTTAAATATTGTACCTATGTGAGTAGCAATATATTTTATTTCAACTATTAAATCTATGCAAATATCAAGATGCTTTACTGTAACCACTTAGGTAGTTTTAGGAGTTTCCTTGGAAGGTTCAGGATATAATTTATTATATAATTTTTCATACTCCTTTTTAAGTTCTTCTCTTTTTGCAAAGAATTTTGGATATTGAGCCTTTTCTATTGGATCCCAAAAATCAAGTACACTATCTGGTGCTTCAGCATAACGCTCATAACAAATTCCACCTGGACTACCAGGGAACTGTCTTGGTTGCGCATGTAATTTTTGAAACAATTCTTCTTGACCATCTAGTAATAGTTGTTTTGCAACACGAGCATCTAGTATATTTCGATTTTCCTCAAAACGTTGCCTTAGTAACACTGCTTGATACCTGAATCAAAAGAACATATTTTTTTATATAAACTTACTAATAACTTTGAAGGTATTCAATATTTAAATACTATTAAATTGATTTACAAGTTCGTTTATTTTTATTGTACAATAAAAAATTAACATAGAAATCCATCATTCATATTTATTAATTAATGCTATAACTTATAGGTATGAATGAATGAAATGTTATGAAAAGATAAAATAATCAACTAGTTCACAAGTCACTTTCAGATCCTTTTCTATCAATGTTCCACGTATATCCTGGACAAAATCTTGACCTACCACTTCATTTAAAAGAATTTTTTTCTTTTTTCACCATTTTTAAATTTCTTCAATCAGTTAACTCTCCTAATAATGTGTATTTTTTCATTTCTTCCAAAAACTTTGTTTATAAAAAGACTAACAGCAACAATAATCTAATATGCCTATAAATAACAATCCCTGCTTCATACCAATTATGACCATGTATAATAACATAAACCTAAGTTTTGTACTCCGCTACAAGAAAAATTAAAAGTAACACACAAAAATTAAAAGGAAACAATTTTTGAAGAATGCATGTACCTTTGAATCAACTTAATAGATACTAAATTATTCTTGTAAAATAAGTAGATAATTAGAAAACCTGTAAAAAGTTTAAAATAAAAATGAAAATTAAAAGTAAACCCATAAAAGTAACTTTCTTATATCAGAGCCTGTTATAACTAATAATTTAATAATAATAAAAATGTTATATTAAATGTGTATGTCTAACAAGGAAATTCACCCAACCTGTAAATTCTGATTTTGATGAAACTTTGTATGTATTTAAAGCATGATAAGTATGCAAGCAATCTTTTTTTTGATAGAAACATTTCTCATTTTATTATAGAAACATAATGTGTAAGTGCAGAAATGTATATAAATATAAAAAATTGTTTATTGCAAATGACATTAAAAAATTCTATACTTTTGTATTTCTACAGACTATTCAAAATGATAAGTTTTAAAAGCAAAATAATTGATTTTAACTTCTACTGTTCAAAATTTATATACAAAATGAAAACATTTATTTGTTTAAATATTACGTGATATAAACAAATTTTTGTACAATAAGCTGATAAAGCATAAGAAACTGAATAATTTTCAGATTTTTAATTTTTATTTCATACATTTCATAAAATTTTAGATTAGGTGAATTTTCTTGATAACTTCATGTCTTTACTTATGTAGTAATAACAGAATTTGTAAAATTAATAAAGAGTTGCAATTTATAATTGTAATGCTATTATAATAAAATAACTTACAAAATACAAATGAAAAAGAAAAAAGATAAACAATATGTTACAATAACATCCCCACAAATAAAAGTTGTTCCTTAATCCTATTTTTATTAAGTTAAACATA